ATGATTTTCTACAGTTAAAATTTCACCAGATAAAAATGTATTGTTCAAAATTTGGGGTACAAAAAAGACAGATTCCACCTCTTCCATAGCGGTGTCACTTTTTCCAGATCCCCATAAATCCCACAATGCAGTGCGGTTCTTACATCTCCTTTCCAGCTCTGCTCAGGCCTTCCTCAGAATAAGGATGCTTGTTCTCTACAGTTCATTTTAAAATCAAGAGCATTTTTTATCCACCAAGGCTGATAACAAATGAAGTCCTTCCTTTAAGCAGCTTTTTGAAACCTCGGGTTTACAATGATGGAGCAGTTTGCTCAAAGCCAATCACATTCAATTCCCTGATTAGCTCCACTCTGCTCACTGTCTGACCTAAGGGCCAACTGTGTCCAGTTACCCTTTATAAAGGAAAACACAATAATTACCCCTTCCTCTGTCAGACATCTGATGTCGGAGCTGCAGCTTTCTTGGCGATGATATTTATGTCGCCTGTGTTGTTGTGATTGCTGTCGTGTTTTTCTTTCTGTCGGCTTTGTGACTCTCATCAGCGGCGGTCTCAACCTTTTCACTCCTGCATACAAACACGCGTGAATAATGGAAGCTGTGAGGAAATTGCGGCAGGGTGACAACTGCACTGATTCCTTGTTGCAATTCAAAATAATTCGGGGGAGAGGGAGGAAGGGGGGATCACTTGCATATCAAACCAGGTCTTTGTGCTCAGAAGGAGAAGAGGAGGAGGAGGAGGAGGGTTGCAAAATAAAGCGATGCTAAAGAAACGTAGAGAAATGAGAGCAGATGATAACTTGGAAGCTGGAGAGGCTGTTTGTTGATGGCAGTCAGTTATGAGATGATTTCTCCTCACACCCTGCTTTGCTTTCTGCTATTTGTGTACATGTTAATAGGAAGCCGCTCTTTGATAATTCACACCCTCCTTCCTTTGAAAACATGTTGTTGGTTAACTCCCCGGCCTCATGGAAATGCATACCAATGGGATCAGAGGAGCTTGTTCTTCTTCTGTCCTGCCTTCATTTTGGGATGTTTAATTAAGGAGACGCTGGGTCGCTTTGTTTGAGAGAAAAGTGATTCCATTATGTTTGCTTAATAGGAGCGTACTGATGTAATATTATTTCTGCAGCAGTAATTTCCATACATATTGCGATTAGAGGCTCATTCAGAGGCGCGCTGCTGTGCCCATGCTGTTCTATGATGAAGAGTTGTCGAAGTGAGCATATTTACAGATCTGCCTCTTTCTAAAGAACAAGAGAGCAAAGCTAACATGTAGGTCTGACACAGTCACTACAGAACTCTAGAAAAATCCCACAGGATTCAGCCATGAGGTTGATGAGGTGCTGCTTGATGAAGCTCGGCTTGATCAACCAGTCACCAGCAGAAATTCAAGCTCCGCCAATCAGCAACCTGAGTCCACTTTGACATCCTGCCCAGTTTGATGCTGGTGTGATAAAAGATTTTATTTGTCAAACCAAAGAATAACTTCACATGATGCTCGACATTCCTAATTTTAGGGAACAAAGTGCTTCTTGTAAGAGTTGTTATTGTTTGTTTTAATTATGAAACTTTATTCTCATTATTTTACAAATTTATTCTCATAATTTTACGTCTTCATTCTCCTAACTTTATGACTTCTCGTTGCGACTTTATTCTCATAATTTTACGACTTTATTCTCACAATGTTACAACTTTATTCTCCTAATTTTACGAATTCATTCTTCTAATTTTATGACTATTCTCGTTGCGTCTTTATTCTCATAATTTTATGACTGTTGTTCTTTATGTTCCTAACAGAGC